AATGTGGACAGATAAAATATTCAGCTCTAGTCAGCTAAGAAGGCGAAAGATTGACAGTATGCTGTATCTCTGCCTGGGCCACTCTCCCGGTCCTGCCAGCCTCCCATGGACCTTCACCTGTTAAGTCCTTAACTACGCTTAGATCTGCCTTCACTCTTACATGGCGGGCAGCCAACCAACACCTCCATTGCTTTGCTGGAGGGTGGCCTTTTGCAAATTGCTTAGGCTGTCGGCCTCGTTTTCTTCTTCTTTAAAATGGGGATTGGGGGCTTCCCTGGTGGCGCAGTGGTTGAGAGTCCGCCTGCCGATGCAGGGGACACAGGTTCGTGCCCCGGTCCGGGAGGATCCCACATGCCGCGGAGCGGCTGGGCCCGTGAGCCGTGGCCGCTGAGCCTGCGCGTCTGGAGCCTGTGCTCCGCAACGGGAGAGGCCACAACAGTGAGAGGCCCGCGTACCGCAAAAAAAAAAAAAAAAAAAAAAAAAAAAATGGGGATTGGAAGGGTACCTATACGTGGTGACTATATCGGTATTAGCTGGCGTTACTCAGTCCTCTGGAAGCTTTTCCTGAGCACACACACCTCTTCTCCCGATTATGCTCTAGGTCATGACTCTTAGACTGTTGCATTCTGACTTTTTTATGTGGCTCTGATTACTGTCAGCTTCCCCACTGAATGCTATATATAAGGACTGGGGTCATTTATGGTTTTGACGACCATTGAGGCTAAGGCCGTGACTGGAACATAGTAGATGCTCAACAGATAATAGATTCAACCACCGATGAATCTGTGGTTATCAAGCGATTTTTTTTTTAAGATCGCAGCAGACTTGAACGTGTACCTCCTGTATAAAAATTATAAAATTCCACATAGGTTAATAAAAGATTAAATTTTGTAAAGAAGTCAAGTGTTTCTCCCGTCATTAATGTACAATTTTAATGCAATTCGAATAAAAATCATACAGGGCTTTTTGTTTTGGAACCATAACAAAATGACTGAAGTTTATCTGAAGGAAGAATGTTTATCCAAATAGCCAAGAAATTTTTTTTTTTAAAAAGGTGATGAGGCTTTGCTTTTACATTAACCTGTATGCACTCATTGTAAGGCTATAGTAATTGAAACAATGATACTGAAGTCAGAATAAACGTCATTATAAGGGATTAGAAAGTCTACAAAACAAAACAACAAAATTCAGGTTTATTGTAGAGAATTGAAATTTTATGTCTAAAGTGTTAAAATGATATATAATCTCACCAAGTTTAAATTTAAATAATGTAGAATAAAATGGAATCATATGGTTAAGTGTTTATATTATTAAGTTAAAAGGGCAGCTTACAAAACAATGTAGCTCATTCAGTTCTCACAACCTCATGATAACAATAGTAGCAAACATTTTTTGAGCTCCTTCTTTGTGTCAGAAACTATACCACATGCTTTGCTTACATTTCCGTATTTAAATCTGACAACCACCCCTGTGACGTAGATAATTTATCACTGACCCTGTTTTACAAATGAAGAAACTGAAGATGGAGGAGGCTAAGTCAGTGGCCAAGAGCTAGTAAGCAGTGGCAGAGAACAGGAATTCAAACCTAGCCACCCGATTTCAGAATTATCACTCTTAATTATACACAGCAAAATTTTCATGGTGGTTCTCAACGCATGGTGGTATTCTAAGTGACTTTTATTTACATTCTGTGATTTTTCTGTATTTTCTACAACGATCGTGAATAACTACTATAATTTTTTAGAAATAAATGTCCATGTAGAGATTGAAGAGTCATCTGTCAGAGCTATTGCAGAAGGTAGATGTAAATCATATCAAAGATTCCTTTAAAAAAAGGAGTCTAGAAACAGATCCCAGTGACTATAATGTGTTATAAAGGTGGCATTCAAATTGATAATTTCATAAGTGGTCCTGAGGTTAGAAAGTAGATAATTAGAAATTCTTCTCTAAATCTTAGGCCAGAATAGATGAGATGAGTTACAAATTAGCAAAGGATATAAGCAATTTACAAAAGAGATACAAATGGCCAATAAACCAAAAGTTTAATCTTACTAGTACTATTTTCAGATTGGAAAAGATAAAAAGAATGGCACTACTTTGAGCAGAGGGAAATAGTGGTGTTATACACTGTGAATGGAAATGAAATTATTAAGCATTGAGATGGAAATGGAGCAATATATATGGAAAGTCTTAAAATTGTTTGCACCCTTTGCCTCAGCAATTACATATGTTATACTGTAGTTTAATTGCCCAGTTGTGTAAATCTGCAAAAATATAGGTCAAGGATACTCATTGAAAGTGTCTGTATTAAGGAAAAAAGAAAGGACATCCTAATTATCCAATGGTAGGGGTATGGTTAAATTCCATGCAATGGAATACTGTGCAACCATTTAAAATTAAATAAATGTTTGGACTTCCCTGGTGGCGCAGTGGTTAAGCATCCACCTGCCACTGCAGGGGACACGGGTTTGAGCCCTCTTCTGGGAAGATCCCACATGCCGCAAGCAACTAAGCCCATGTGCCACAACTACTGAGCCTGTGCTCTAGAGCCCGCGAGCCACAACTACTGAGCCCACGTGCCTCAACTACTGAAGCCCGTGCGCCTAGGGCCCGTGCTCTGCAACAAGAGAAGCCACCGCAATGAGAAGCCCACGCACCGCAAGGAAGAGAAGCCCCCGCTCGCCGCAACTAGAGAGAAAGCCCGCGCGCAGCAACGAAGACCCAACGCAGCCAAAAATAAAAAAAAATATTTTTAATTAAAAAAAAACCAGTACACCTGAAACTAATATTATAAATCAACTATATTTCAATTACAATAAAAAATAAAATTATGTTGATGTTTATTTATTGAAACTAAAAAGAATTCCATAAAGTGGGGAGATTGTTAGAAGAGAATACAGCCATGTCTGTGTAGCGCTTTGCACAGGGTTCAACATGTGAGTTCTCAAATGGTACCTTTTTTAAAAGGTAGGGGAGACAGGTTAGTGATGAACGTATATCCAGCTGCCTATCAACAATCATTACTGGTTCTTCATTCTTGTCAGACTAAAGCCTTTCTCTGGGTCCATGACTTCCTAGTCTGACCACTCACCTTCCAAACTGATACTTTTTATTTTCCAGCACTGACTCCCTCCTCTAGCTAGGGTGGTCTGCTCCCTGCCCCTTTGCATTTGCTTGCCTTTGTGTTTCTGTACACCACTCATTCTGCCTGGAGTATCCATTCCCTTTCTGCCCGCCAGTCTGAACCCATCCATCCTTTCAACCCCGCTGTGCCTTGTGAGACCTAACATTCCGGCTTCAGTCACTGCTCCCCTCCAGGGCTCTTGTATCCATCATGTCCTTCCTCCTGTCGTTAGGATACACACATGTGAGAATTCAGCTAAATTGGTTCACGTGGTTCCTTGAACATAATTTTGTGCTCTTTAATGACTGCTGCATTAGAGCATATTTTAAAAAATAAGTTGTTGAGGCAAAATTCACATAATGTAAAATCAACCATGTTCAAGTGAACAGTTCAGTGGCATTTAGTACATTGACCAGGTAGTGCAATTACCTCAAAACATTTCCATCACTCCAAAGTAAACTCCCTTGCCCATCAGGCAGTTTCTCTCCATTCCCTCCTTCAACCGCCAAGGTGCATACTGTGTCTATGGGTTTGCCTATTCTGGACATTTCATATAAATGGAATCATACAATATGTGACCTTCTGTGTCTAGTTTCTTTCACTTAGTTTTTGTTTTGGAGGTTCTTCCATGTTGTAATATGTATCAGTACTTCATTCGTTTTTAAAAAAAATATTTACTTATTTTTGGCTGCGTTGGGTCTTAGTTGCGGCACGTGGGATCTTTCGTTGTGGCACGTGGGTTTTCTCTCTCGAGTTGTGACACGCAGGCTCCAGAGCGTGTGGGCTCTGTAGTTGCAGCACGGGCTCTCTAGTTGTGCCACACGGGCTCAGTAGTTGCGGCGTGCGGCTTCGTTGCCCTGTGGCATGTGGGATCTTAGTTCCCCAACCAGCGCTCAAACCTGCGCCCCCTGCAGTGGAAGGAAGAATCTCAACCACTGGACCACCAGGGAAGTCCCCACTTCATTCATTTTTAAGGCTGAGTAATATTCCACTCTATGTGTATACCACAGTTTGTTTATCTGTTTTCTGCTGATGGACATTTAGGCTGTTTCCACCTTTTGGTTATTGTAAATAGTGCTGCTATGAACATGTGCGTATGTGTGCTTGTCTGAGTCCCTGTATTCAGTTCTTTGGGGTATGTACCTAGGAGTGGAAGAGTGGGACCAGGTGGTAATTCTATCTTTAACTTTTTGAGGAACCAGCCAACTCTACAGTGGCCACACAGTTTTACATCCCCATCAGCGTTGCACAAGGGTTCAATTTCTCTGCCTCCTTGCCAGCACTTGTGATTTCCCGTTAAAAAAAAATTATAGCCATCCTAGTGGGTGTGAATTGGTACCTCCTTGTGGTTTGATTTGTATTCATTAATTAATAATGATGTAGAGCATCTTTTCATGTACTCAGTGGCTATTTGTATATCTTCAGAGAGTTGCCGAAGGTTCAAGTCCTTTACCCGTTTTTAAAACGGGGTTGTCTTTTTCTTGTTGAATTTGAGGAGTTTTTTAGATATTCTGGATACTAGATCCTTAGCACATACCTCTTAACATCAGGTCTTCCTGGCTTGACTTTGTTCCCCTCTTTATGATTTTTTTTTTAACCTCTGGGAAATGCTGCCACATCGGAGGTATCCCACGAAAGGATCTTAAGAGCTGTGTTCACTGTTGTGAGGACAAAATCACTGAGGCGTGTGTGAGATACTTGGAAACTATAAAATGTTACCCAGTTGTAGAGGTGGAAGACAGGATGCCCCTTTTAGTGTTTTTTACACTTGTCCTTGTTTTGATTTTGTGGATTCTTCACACTGCAATTCATAGTTAAGCACCTAAGAGCCATAAATCTCAGGTAAGGAGAATAACAAGGACTGTTTGCTTTTCAGAGTCATCCTTTTTGAACTTCCATGACTCCGACTGCGAACCCAAAGGACCACCACCCTGTGACTCTTTGCTTTCTCTCAACACTGAAAAGATTCTGGTATGCATCTTCTATGCCTTCTGTTTTTGTGACCTGAAACATGCTGATACTAGTTCCAAAAGGTGGAGATTGCGTCTGTTTATCAACTAGGAGTTGAGTCCAGTTGCATAAGATAAAGATAGGTCATCTGGTGTTTAGTCACATTGAATTATTACGTCTTATGAATTGGATGGTTTGTCATTCTGGACCTAGGACTCTTTACTTTCAAGTTCCAAGGAATAAAGGAGATCATGGCTGAACCTTATTTCTAGGAGCTTTACGGATTTGAAGGTAGCGTATAATCTTATTTTTCCAGCCTTTGCCTGTGTATCTTTTATATCTATGTTTTTTTAATCAGTACCAGCTAGGCTGTACAAGAGACCTCTCCATTCCAGGGACGAGCACCTGGCACTGTGCCATGTAATGTGCATCGACCTATCTTGCTAGTGTGTGTCCCCCTCTGGCCCGGCTGCCTCAAGGTGCCAGGGTGTTTTTGTTCACACTTAATTCTGTGAGGCTGTTTTTGTTCATACTTAATCCTGTGAGGCTGTTCTTCTTTCAGTGCCCAAGGTTAACAGTTTTTCACCAGGCCTTTTCCTTCAACATCCACATAAATATTGTTGGCTTCTTTTGTTTAAAGTTTCCCTTTAGGATACTCTTTTCTTTTCCAGACAAACCTCTGCCTTTTCATGTAAGAACTACTCAATATGGGTAGAAACTGCAAACTAGAGAATGATCAACTGATTTTACTTAACTCATTGCATAGCCGTCAACGTGGTATATGGAAGAACTTTTGAATTAGACTTGTCCCAAACCAGAATGGGCTAACTTGTGAAGCAGTGAGTTGGCCATCACTGAAAACATTTAAATAGAAACTGGATAATCCCCACCTTGGAGAAGTGATTAGATTCTTAGAGTTATTAGGGACCTTCTTGCTGATAGTAATTCAAATATTATCTACTATTTGCCTTTCCAGTTTAAGATGGCACTAGCTAGTAACCTATGGGAGAAAGCTGATCAGTCTAGGCCTTTTGTTTTCCCTAGGTTGAAAATATGGGAGTTAAACTCTTCATTTATTCATTCATTTTCCAGATATTTATTTTGCACCTATTTTTGTCAAGCGTTGAGCTAAGCAAGTACTTAACCAGGGAGTGGTGAGTCAGATAGGCTTGGTCCCAGCACTTAGGGCTCTATAGCTACTAATCAAATAATTATACAAGTAAGCATAGAAGTATAATTGTGCAAATCATATGAAGGAAAAACAAAGGGTCAACATAATCTCCCTTAAGTTAGGGGTATCAGGCAAGACAGCTTTCAGGAATTGAACCATGAGCAGGGACCTGGAAGGTGGATTGGAGTTAGTCTACTAGCAATGTGGCGTTGTGTGTTTAAACCTCCTTGATCGTAACTGCTCCACTCTGTCCACAGAAGATATCTATAGTTGCAGTATTAGACGTGGGGAAGATTCTTTTTGATCAGGAAATTAATTTGTCCCTACTGTACTTTGCCTGCCCACTTCTGTTATAAATTTTATTTCTAATATAATACAGGCACTTTAAAATCAGATATGCTCTTCAGTACATTCTTAATTTTGCTTAGTAAATGATTTCTTCTTTTTATGGGATTTCATTTCTGTTCTCTTCCCATCTTTTTGCACAAAGTCTTGGCAAATGGTTGCCCAGACCTTCGTTGAATACTGGTTGAAATAATAAAAAGTTTTTAAAGTATTAAAAGCGTTGTTTATAGACCCCTTTCCTTGGCTCTAAGCAATTTACTAAGTAGAAAGTGTTTTGCACTTATGTGTTTGTCTGTAAGCAGCTGGTAAAGAGGAAGGACTTGTGTCTGGTCACACCCAGATGTATGTACAGTGCTGTGCTGCCCTCACGTGTTGTGGAATCTACCGCTTCCTAAAGAAGCCACATGAGGTTCCCATGTGTGGAAGCTCCCAGCTATAGAGCAAAGCAAGAAAGAGCTGACAGAGTTCCCCTCTAGCCATCAAGGTTTTACTGGAAGAAATAAAGTATAAACATTCCCAAAGCAGTAGAATTTTCAGGTGTTTCATTTGGTTTGGGGTCCTGAATGGAATGAAGTGAGAACTCTGAGTCTCCTGAGATGGGATGCCCTTCCGACCTGTGTCTTTTAACTTGTGTTCTAAGTAGAGGTAGCTTATTCTTGACTTGTTTTATAGGCAACCCAAAAGCACTCTGTATCTGAACATCAGTCTTGACTTTAAGAGTGTAGGGAGTATAGGTGGAAATACCTGTTACTCTGTTGAGTCAGTGAAGCCCAAGAGACCATGGCTAATGAGTACCAATCATTAGCTAAAGAGCATATCCATCAGTCAGAGAAGTCACCTGTGTAGAATTATTTGGCTGTCATACATGCCTGTAGGCATCTGTACAATGGATTAACAAAAAGAGGAATTCAAATATTTGAGATGTCACTGGGTTCTGGTCGTCAAGTTTTGCCAAAAGCGACATCTTTAGTCTTGTATTATCTTAGCTTTTCCTGTCTATGTGTGTGTACAAGTTTTAATCATATCTTAGGTGAATCTGGTATGAAGTTATCATTTTAATGTGTACCCTGTAGGCTAAGCATATCACAACTTAGTGTCGACAGTCAAATCTTCTGGCAAAGTGACAGCTGTTTGCATAATCAGACATGATTTGTCTCCAAAACACAATAGAGCCGTCATTTTGTATGTTGGACCATTGCTGCCTATAAAATCTTTCCAATTGCTAAGCTAACTTACTTAGTTTTTCCCTGGCTTCCACTTTTGCTTTAACTTTTCTGCCAAGTGTGCGTATGCATGTCTGCATATGCATCAAGTAGGATGGTTATGTTCATCTCCTGCTATGCATTATCTAATAGCATGTCTTGTTTCTTGGTCAGGTTTTGCTGGTCTTATTATGGTGTCATCCCTGTACCACCTATAGCTTTTTTTTTTAAAGATTTTTTTTTGATGTGGACCATTTCTAAAGACTTTATTGAATTTGTTACAATATTGCTTCTGTTTTATGTTTTTTTTTTTTTTTTGGTTTGTTGGCCACGAGGCATGTGGGAATCTTAGCTCCCCAACCAGGGATCGAACCCGGGCCCCCTGCATTGGAAGGCGAAGTCTTAACCACTGGACCCCCAGGGAAGTCCCAACAACCTGTAGCTCTTACTTCTAAACTATTTTTAAAGTTTAAAAGGCAATATTCTGGGGTACTTCCCTAGCGGTGCAGTGGTTAAGAATCCACCTGCCAATGCAGGGGCATGGGTTTGAGCCCTGGCCCGGGAAGATCCCACGTGCCACAGAGCTGCTAAGCCCATGCACTACAACTACTGAGCCTGCACTCTGGAGCCTGCGAGCCACAACTACTGAGCCCGCGAGCCACAACTGCTGAAGCCCGCGGCCCTAGAGCACATGCTCCGCAACAAGAGAAGCCTCCACAAGGAGAAGCCCGAGCACTGCAGCAAAGAGTAGGCCCTGCTCGCCGCAACTAGAGAAAGCCTGCGCGCAGCAACAAAGACTCAACGCAGTCAGAAATCAATAAATTTATTTTAAAAAATATTCTGTTATCAAGCCACTTTGGAGACCAAACACTAGAGTGTGGTCTTTGTAACATGATCGATGTCATTGTGTAGTCTGTGGAGGGAGCTTTGAAACGGCCGGGAAGATTAATCCCCATGAAAGTAAAAAGATAGGTGTTCCTGGAAACCAAAAACCACTAGTGATAAGGCAAGGAAGCAAATCAGTTACAGCACAAATTGTGTCCCTGAAGTACATGATTGATAGGACTTAATGTGAATATTTTCTTGCTTTCATATAGATCAAATGTAGCTTTAATTCTTTTAAATACAGGTTTCATGGTAAGTTTCTCCTCATCTGCGATAAGCTAAAAATGTATGTTTGTTTTTATTTCAGAGCCAGGCCAAGTCTATTGCTGAACAAAAGAGATTCCCATTTGCTACTGATAATGACAGCACAAATGAAGAGTTAGGTGAGACTTGACTCGGGGGCTGTTCCTGGGATATTTGCCTAGAATTTATGATCAGATGCAGAGCAGGTAGGCAGGATGGTGAGACAGAAAGAGCACAGAGCCTGACTCTGCCAGCACGAGAGGTTTGATCTTGGGTAGGGCATTCAACCCTTGTGAGGGTCTCGGTACTATAAGTCATAAAATAAAAGGTCTGGATGGAATCCGTAAGGACTGTTCCACATCTGTGTTTCTATGGAGATTAATAATTATGGTAACGAGTTCTTATGAGCTACTAGCATTCATTAGAAGGTTATTTGTGTGCTGTCATCAAATATGAACAATAGAGAAGTGAAAGCAGGAGAGAATCACACCTACTTCAGTCTTCTGTGTAATAAAATAGCTAGGTTTGAGTTAATTTTACTGTGGGGCCAATCAGTTATTGTTGGGTCTAAGCATGTGGGTGTAGAAAGTTGAGTTCATTCTAATCTGCAAATGGGTCATGCAGTTTGGCTTGTTCAAGGAATGTCTTAAAACAGTCTGGTTTCGCCAGTGTCTGATATGCTCTGGGTGTGTCTCCATCAGTGCCTGGTCAGCTCACACTTGAAAGAGTGGAAACAAAATTGAATAGAGGACTGAACACTGCAGCTGGACACATTTCACATAAGTGTGTGCTCCCACATGTTGCCTGGTGGCCCAAAGCACCTGCAGAAATTTTTTTCTGTCTGATTTACACATAACCGTTTTATCCTTTCTTCTGCCATATGCATTTTATATTAAGACTGAGTACTTCTTGTATTGGCTTTTTCCTTTGTAGTGCAGATAACTGAGAGTTGACTATTTTGAAAGTACTAATCATTTTTTGTTTATATTCTTTGAGTGGGCTTTGAGAATTAATTATCCTTTAAGGCATCAGATTTGGTCTCTGTTGTAGTCCTTGGATTCTGTTCAGCCTTATATTCATTTATTAAATAATGAATTAAGAGTCTAACGTGTGCCAGGCCTGTCCTGTGCTCTAAGAATAATCCTAGTACACCCTGGAATAGGAAAGGCCCTGAGCTGGCTTAGGAGCTTTTGAACCTCAGTAATTTTTTTTCTTGGAAAAATGACCTCTGTCAACATACATGTTGTGGGGAGATGTGGAATTGCTGGTTATTAACAATTTCTGGGAGATTCCAGCTATCCTAGTTTTTTCTTTATGTCTTTGAACTCCCACAACCAAATTTAGATCCTAGTACGAATAGTTATTTATATTTGTCCAAGATTTAGGTTACTTTTTAATGCATACTTTTGGGTTTTTCTCAAAAAAATATTTACTTTTAGATGGAAAGATTTGAGAGCTGCATTTGATTTTATTTGAGTGGAGTTCAGTAGGCTAGCCAAGGACGACAATTTTCAACATGTTCCTAAGTATAACATTTATCCCCTAAAGCCATATTTGTTTTTATGGGTCACTTATTCATTTGTTCATTCAACAGATATTTACTGATTATGGGAAGGTAGATAGGCAATTCTGAAAATTTAGATCTGAAAGGAATCTAAGAAAATTTTCTACAGGCATGTTAAGCAAGACCCAGAGAGTCATGAGAGCGACTGAGGTCCCCGTGGTGACACAGCCAGCGAGTGGCAGGGCCAGAATCTGAGCCCAGATCTTGGCTTTCTAAAGTATCTTCCTACACTCAAAAATGCACAAGTTTATGTTTCAGTCCCTGTTCATCCAATCATCAAGGAATTCAAATCATTTTGCAGTCCAGCCCTGTGCACAGTAGTTTCAGTGCAGCCCAGATTTTTCTCAGGGTAGCGTGTTGGTGAGATGGGTGGGTCCTGGAGCCAGGCAGCCTGTTTCCTTTGTCTCACGGCATGCTGCCTTTGGACAGTTTAAAGGCTTCATTTCCTTGTCTGCAAATGGGGATGACAGTTGTACCTACCTCACTGCGATTAAGGAGTAAATGGGTTATAATACATGTATATAATTAGGATTGTGCCTGGCACGTATTAAGAGTACTGTACATGTAACTATTATTGTTGTTGTTGTTGTTTTTACTACTAATGCTGCTGACCCCCGCCAAGAGGTCTCTGGTTATCTCATTGTCTGCTACAACTACCTGAATAGTATCCATTCCCATTATTCTGAATAGGAGTTTGAGCTTAATTACCTTTTCAAAAACATTAGGATGAAAACAGTCCTCTTTTCATGTTCATGAATGCCCCCAAAACTCGATGTTTCTGAACTTTACTTTTCTCAGGTTAGTTATAGAGATACTCTAAATCTCTTTCTGCATTTAATGTTTTGACTACTGTTTACTGTCAAGGAATTTAAACTCTGAATGACATTAAAAGTTTTAGTTACCCATCTTCTTGAACACGTAATTATGTCCTTGAATTAGAGGGTTGCATAAAGCCTTTTTTGCAAAGAAATATGATCAAAATAGTATTATATTGAGTTAGGAATACAATTTTTCAGGGATATTTGGGACTTTAGGGCAAATATTATAGATAAAAATGTAATCTAGAATATTAAAGTTTATTGGTTTTTTTGACAGGTGAAAAAGTTTAGTAAAAATTGTGCCATGTTTTAAGAGATATTCATGGCTCTAATTTCAAAATACCACTTACATAAACAATTTGATTAAAAACTATTTGTGATCTTTAGAGTGTATTTTGAGTAGTGTCTTGACTACATTTTGAATCGAAGAGCTAGGGAAAAGACTAGTGCTCTTTTGTAGTGCTGTGAATTATATCTACAGTTAAGCACTATATTAATATATATTAATTGGAGCCTCTGTTTTTGTTCTTAGTAGGTAATTGGCAGTAAATTCAGCACCTGCAGGAATCGAGATATGTGATGCTATTTGGGTATTTCTTCTAACTTTCACAGTAAAGTCACATTGCCATGTTATATGGGTATTATTCAGGCTTATTACTAGCTCTTTTGTATATATAGATAAGAAACGTCGTAAAGATTATTTGGACTTTGAAAGTGAGTGATGGGCTTAGAAAAAGATAATTACTTCTTGTAGGCAGGTGTTTTGTAGATGGCTTTAATAATTTAAATCTAGATGGAACTAGAAGACTGATTAGCAAGTGCTGAGTGGTAGGAGAATTCAATTACATCTTATTAACTTCTAGGTTTTCTTTAACTGCTTCTAGTCCTTGGAGCTGCCTTTTAAGATTTGGTAAAGAATTTAGCTACCAATTCCAGTCTGAGATCCTTTATTCGTTCCTTTAATGTTTCTGTATTTTTTCATAGCTATTGCATATGTGTTGATTGGCAGTGGTCTCTATGATGAAGCAATAAGACATTTTTCAACAATGCTTCAGGTAATTTTTCTTCTTAATTATATGATTGCAAGTTTATAGTCATGACAAAAATATGGACTTACGCATAGCTAAAGTGCTGCAATAAAACATGGATTTTAAGATTTTACAAGAAAGTAAAGGAAATCAGCCCTGACTGAGCACTTTCTTAGTGCAGGCCTTGTAACATGCTCTCTTTTAATCTTTGCAGTATTACTTTATTTTAAAGGAGGAAAATGAGGTCTAAGGAGATCAGGCAGTTTTGCTTGTAGTCTCCCCACCATCAGGTGGCAGAGGTGAGATTCAAACCAAGTTTCAAAAAGACAAACGTTAGCTTCAGTTCATTTTCCTGTCTACCTTGATATCTCCCATGAGATGTGGACACTGGAAATTCTTGGAGCTACGGATGTTTACTCTCCATGCAGGAGTTGATCTGCATGCTTAAGTCCACTTGTGGATTTGTTTCTCACCTTAAAGTATAATTATGAGACTCTTCAGTGGAAGTATTGGGCCTCTGTTGATTGATGGCTGTGTTAAAATCCGGTACAGACCAAGTGCTTTCATACACAAGTGTAAGAGTTGCATAGGAGACCTGCAATGCAGCCTGACATTGCTGGCTGTGTATCTCGGGTCGTGATTTAACTGTACTCTGGTAGATGGCTGGCCATTATCCATTCTCTGTCCAGGAGGGTCAAATAGAGTTAGAAATACCCAAGTTCTCATCTACTCTGCTGCTTACTAGCAAGTTATTTAACCACCTGGATTATGGGCATAATAATAACTACCTCCAAAAATATTCTCATTCAGTTTGAATGAAATATCTTAAAAAGTACTTTACTAGGTGCCTGGCACATAGTAAGTGCTCAGTTAATTTCAGCTATTCAAAGGACCATTCTGGCATATTCATCTGTGCTAATACAGTAAGAGCCAATAGATAGTTTACAATCCAGCAGGCAGACTTAATTTTAAAGTATTATTTTTGAAATTTTTGCTCTGCTTTTGTTTTCTCTTTTTAAATATATGATTAATTATGTTGACAGTTCTATCTTCACTCTCAAATAATCAATAAGATATCTTTATAGTTATTACTTTAAAGTGCTTAGATCCAAGCGGCTATGTGTTTGAGTGGTCATAGGGAATAATATTCTTCAGTGGAGTTTAAAGTACGATGGGTAGATTATAAAGTTTTAAAAATCGCCTTTCTGTTTAGCATTGCAGTATTTAAAAAGGTAAGAAAGCACTTTAACACCCTGGTTTGAAAGGGAGGTTTTGATACATTTATAGGAGCAAATGTCAGTTAATTTACGGTAGCCAACAGAAGACAACAGTACAGGCTTGCAGACATATTAGCAATTCATTTAACTTTTTGAAAAATATTGTTATCAGTCTAGCTGAAGGCAATATAACAACATTAAAGAAAAAACTTTAAGTAATAAAAAATTTCCTAATTCTGCCACTCTACCATTATTTAAGTTTACGACCTTTTCAATTTCAATTTTTACGACCTTATGCATTTGTTTTTTGTCATCTGAACTTATGTACTATTTTGTATTACTTTTTTACTTAATTTTATAAATGTTTTTCAGTCTTGCTCTACAATCATAATTTTAGTGACATAATATCTCTGTTGTCCATTTATTATCGTAAAACATATTTTTCTTGCAATTGCGTTCAGAAAGTAGATCAGAATTTTTCTCTTTGTGCTAAGAAAAGATATTAATATGTTGAAGTTTGATATAACATTTTCATCAATCTGCGTTGGGTTGCTTTCGACTGGTAAATTTTTCTTTGAGAATGTGTGGATTATAAGGTTGCACTGGTGACTTTGGTGATTCAAGCTACGATGGGGCAGGAATAGAGGATGATGGAGCAGCAGAAAGTTCAAATGCTACCGGCCCGCAGAAGACGAGACTGCGTTGTCATTCATAACACATCTTTACATGGGAATTCAATGCCTTTGGCTTTCCTGCCGGTGCTCTTCTTGGGGATGTCTCTCTTCCCCTTTGTTTCGGTGCCTCCCAGCCTTTTCTGCATTATGACACATGTGGAAAATCATGACACGCTGGAGTAAGCAGGAGCAAATTTAGAGGCATCCAGATAGAGCTTGGTGAAAATCTGTCACATTTTCTTTATGTTATATGACGATGCTAAATACAAAATACAAAGATTTGATATTAAGTGCTAAAATTCTTTTTTAAAATTTTAATAAGAGACTTGATCCTGCTTTTCTGGATATAACTTTTCCATATTAGGCTTTATGTTTGAAACTGATGCACATAATTCCTGTTGAAGAGCTTTTCATTGATTTCTTCAAATTTTTGATAGCCAATCTCATCAAGAAACTGCACGACCACGTGGTAGCAAGTGTCCAAAGATTAGTCATGGCTACTTCTCTAATTGACCAAAACTCCTTTTCTTACCGTGAATCAGAATTTGCACAAATCAATCTCTTTATATTGTATTTTTAAAGTATGACCATTCTTTAAATCTAACTGCGCTTCCTTTTCTTTTATTGGCAAATGCAGCAATACTGGGTCTTGCAGTAATGAAACTGATTTTTGCCCCAGCAATACTTTTTCATATCCAGTATTCAGAATAGTGGTAAAGCGTTTCTTCAAGCGTGGAGGGATGCCAAGTTAGGACTCAACTCAGCATCACCAGAGGGTCATTTTTTGTCAGTACATGCTATCAGATGTTCACCTGTTCCTTGCAGGACCTTTCCACATGTGCGACAACTCTTTATTTATTTATTATTATTTTTTATTTTTTTTGCGGTACGCGGGCCTCTCACTGTTGTGGCCTCTCCCGTTGCGGAGCACAGGCTCCAGACGCGCAGGCTCAGCGGCCATGGCTCACGGGCCCAGCCGCTCCGCGGCATGTGGGATCTTCCCGGACCGGGGCACGAACCCGTGTCCCCTGCATCGGCAGGCGGACCCTCAACCACTGAGCCACCAGGGAAGCCCAACTCTTTATTTTTAAGCCAATAAACATCGTTTAACAAGTCTTCAGTGATAACTGTTCACAGACAAGCTTTTCCAGTTTTTTTTAGCTTGTTATCTCCCAACAAAGTGTTTCTCTTGGACAGCCCGCGAACTCCAGGGTGAAGCAGGAGTGCATAGAATCGGACTCCATTCATAGAAAGCTGAAGACAGATGGGGCCATGGGGGCTAGGATTTTATTATAGTCACCATTTATATAGGATCATTTAATGTGAAATTTGGATCTACGCATGAGGGCCACTCATATTGCAGAGTGACCTTTTGATGTAAAGCTTTTATACTTTCTTGTGGTCTTAGCTCCAGCATCAGAGAACAAACTTACAGGCTATTTCCATAATCTTTGTTGTTTCAAACTGTTCCTTTGAATATTTATCCAAGTATGGGTTGTTTTGGCACGTCTCTAAAGAAATACAGTGTTCCTTGAGCATCAAGGTTTCCAACTGAGCACAATTTCAAGACTTAATAGATCTGTCCGTCTTCATTGGAACCTCTTTATTTTAAAAGCGTATCAGTCAGTATTCTCTCCACGTCAGTGTCCTTGTGTCACTTCCACATGTGTCAGCACCTCCATCATAGTGTTCTTGAAAGTGGGACCCTTTCCTGATGTCTGTGCTGCTTTGATGCTCATGCAGGGCTGGGTGACGTAAGTACTGTGACAATGTTATGAGGCAGTTGGCCTTTGCTGTTAGTTGTGTGACCTTGAGCTCATCTGATTCTGGTGGAACTGAATTCATGAAAGAACTTTGCATTAGCAGACAAAGTGTAAAACATTCCTCTGCACATGATCTTGTAACCATCTTTTATGTACACATGTATGTGCGCCTGCCATTTACACAGAACTTAATCCTTGTTACATTGCTGTGCAGTGACGTTTTTGACTTATTCGTTTGTCTTTGATCCAGTGACTTTCGAGTTTTAACAAAAAACCAACCTTGTGGTGGAAAAATAAATATTTGTAACTTTTAAAATCACTATGTAAATAATATAATGAAGGTGGTAAATTAGACTTTTATGGGTTTAAAAAAATTGATTCTTTTGAGAATTGAGACATTTAAGTGGACATGATCCAGTAAGATAACTGTCTTATTATACCATGATTTTGCATTTGCATAAAGTGAGTGATATTGGACGATTGAAATATTAGTTTAATTTAATTCATTTAAAATTCTGAAAACTTTATAAAGTGTAAATATTATTAGACTTGTGTATTCAAAAATACTTTGAAATAATATTCTGAGCTCAATTTGTTTTTAGAAATAAACATTGTTTTTTATTTGAAACAATAATTCATTGTGACATTTCATAAAGAAAGAGTTTTGACTTGTTAACATCCAAAGCCAGTGATAAAGTAATAAAGTTGTATCAATCAAAAAAAGCAATAAAATCTACTATTTAAATTTAGGAGCCTGTAATACTAGGCTATATTGTGGTGTGGTAACAGCCACAATAATTATAGATCCTTCTATGCTGTCGGAAAGAAATTCTAAAAAGAACGTGTAAATTGAATACTAGAGAAAACAAACATGTGCCTCTGTAATGTATTTAGGTTTTCTCCATTCGACTGACTCTTCTTTTCAGAATTTTCTTGCAACCGCACATAAGGATGTTTAGTTATTGCGGTAGTTATCATATTTATAGTCTAGTATTACGGGTTCCAAATCGACTGCTCTCCCCTGATCCCACCAGACCCTCCCTAGCTACAACTGAAAAAGAATTCCTACTCATATCCTAGTGTCGCCAAGCTCAATGAATGGCACAGGGTTATATGAGGCTACATGTTCCACACATATGTGTGCCACTTACTTCATCACCAGCTCTGTCTGTGTGCCTCCTAAGTATCTCCTTTGTCCATCTGCTACTCCCGGCTCTGTTTAAACCACGGCTGAGCCACTTCTATCTGCCAGATGACAGATGGGGCTCTCGGTTCCTGGCTTCTCTCCTCACACCCTCCACACACATGCACATGTACACACCATACAAACATGTACTTTAAGCACACGTATACTTTGCTGCTACTTTTAGGTTAGAGATAAAACTCCTTAATGAGGTCCCTACCTGCCTCTCCAACCTCAGCTTGGAGATGCTGTGTTCCCTGCGTCCCTCTGAGCCTTTGTACCGTCTGCCCCCGCTGCCTGGACCAGTCATTCTGGGGTTCCCCCATCCTCTGCAGATCTCAGCCCAGGTATCTCTTCCGTAGGAAATCCTTCCTAACCTTGTTTAAGTCTTTATACATTTTCTAAAATCACCATTTATCACTCTAGCATTTACTGAAGGTGTAACTTTACATTTCTGTCTGTGATTCTTCGGGTGTTGTGCTCCAAGAAGGCAAGAATCCTTTTTGCCTTCTGTGTTGGTTCTCATACTATGGTATTCATAGCACATGGGCCGGGACATGGCTCATAGCTGGCCCTGAGTAAATATTTGTTGAATGAATGACTCACATCCATATGACATATAGTGGAACAGAGGAGAGGGGCGTATCTATTTTCCAGGGGCATCTGGAAGGCGTCAGAAGAGAGGGTTCAAGGATTGAAGGACTTTGTTGGGCACAGAGGCCGTGGGTGGGTGTTTCAGGCAGATGAGAGCATTTGCAAATGCACCGAGCTTGGGAGACCCTGTTGTATCTAGGGAACTATTAAGTAATGCCAATTTTTATTATTATTATTTTTTTAAGATTTTTTTTTTTGATGTGGACCATTTTTTATAAGTCTTCATTGAATTTCTTACAATACTGCTTCTGTTTGATGTTTTGGTTTTTTGGCCGTGAGACGTGTGGGATCTTAGCTCCCCGACCAGGTATGGAACCCACAGCCCCTGCATTGGAAGGCGAAGTCTTAACCACTGGACCACCAGGGAAGTCCCACTAAGCCAATTTTTTGTTGTTGTTGTTGTTTGTTGTTGTTGTTGTTTTGTGGTACGTGGGCCTCTCACTGTTGTGGCCTCTCCCGTTGTGGAGCACAGGCTCCGGATGCGCAGGCTCAGCGGCCATGGCTCACGGGCCCAGCCACTTCGTGGCATGTGGGATCTTCCCAGACCGGGGCACGAACCTGTGTCCCCTGCATCGGCAGGCGGACTCTCAACCACTGTGCCACCAGCGAAACCCCCATTAAGCCAATTTTTAGAGTATGAATTGCGAGTGGGGCAGAGGAAGGAGGTGAACAGAGAGGCAGGAAAATGATCAGTACTTTTTGCAAAGGCATTTAGATGTTACCTCACTGTTTTTCAAATTATGAGGCGCTACCCTTTACTGGGCCCTGAAATTAATTGGTGAGTCAAGACTAGCTTTTTTTAAATGAAATATACCAGACGAGGAAATACCAGATTACATTGTGTGTAGTAAGGCTCTTGATGCGACGTTAGTGAAACTTGTTTCTGATGTGTTTGTGTGTATGTTTATGTATATACGTATGAGTGTACTGGGTTACGGTGTAAAATGTATTTCTTACTGTAGATGAGAGTGAAAATGTTCGAATTTTGCTAGTGTAGGTGCTGGGGGGCAATGAACAGTCTGAGCCAGGGGAGTGTCATGATCACCCTGAGGTGGCTTAGTGTGGGCCTGGAGACTGGATGGGAAGAAACAGGAGCGTGCTTAAGGCCATTGCAGTAGCCAGGTGAGAGGGGAAGCCTGCAAACTGGACAGTGGCTGATCGACCAGCAGGTGAAAGCACCGGCATATCTTGAGTAGATATGTTGGCTGAGGACATGAGAACGACTCCCAGGGTCGCTGGAGTGGCCACAGGGTGTATGGAGATGTCCGTCCCGCAAGTAGAATAACTTGTTATTTAAATGCACTTTTTTCTAACTAACCTCCTGTCATCTGGTATAAAATTTTCCTCAGTTGAGGAGAAAAGCTTCTCTGAAAGTGGGGTTTCCTCTCCCTGGAGGCCTGTCATCAGCAGGCGTGAGCTGCGTGGGCTCACCAGCCCCACCCAGCGTGGCCGAGGTGCTGCTCTGTTGACTGTTCTGTCTTCTGGCAGGTGCCATTGCTAGGGAAAAACGTGAAGACCGTCTGACTTTGATTCCTCAGTGGGGAACTCTTTTTCCTGCTTCTCCTCACCCTCTGTACCTGTATCCCTCTCTCAAACTACTTGCTCTGCCTTTCTTTAAGCCAGGAGGAATATTTATGTGTTTATTTATTTATTTATTATTTTAAAAATTTTATTTATTTTTGGCTGCGTTGGGTCTTCGTTGCTGCGCACGGGCTTTCTCTAGTTGCAGCGAGCGGGGGCTACTCTTCATTGCGGTGCATGGGCTTCTCAGTGCGGTGGCTTCTCTTGTTGCGGAGCACGGGCTCTAGGAGCGCGGGTTTCAGTAGTTGCAGCACGCGGGCTCAGTAGTTACGGCACGAGGGCTCTAGAGCTCAGGTTCAGTAGTTGTGGTGCACGGGATTATTTGCTCTGCAGCACGTGGGATCTCCCTGGACCGGGGCTCGAACCTGTGTCCCCTGCATTGGCAGGCGGATTCTTAACCACTGCACTGCCAGGGAAGTCTCCAGAGGAATATTTAAATGTCTAAAGTGTTATCTCTGAGGGACAGGATTGTAGGGTGCCTTTTACCTTATTTTTTGTGCTTTTCTTCATCTCCTAAATTTTCTATAATTTATAATAAATTTTCTCTTTATTTATTTAAATACAATATTTTCAATTGACAGTAAAGTTTTCTATTATTTTCTGTAATATGTCTTACTTAACACATTTTTTTCTGATTATAACTGTGTATGTGTTTGTTTTAAACAATTAAAAGGAATGCATCAGTGTATTAAGCAGAATAGGAAGATACCTAGTAATCCCACTCTCTAGAGAAAACTACTGTTAGTATCTTGGAGACCTTTTATTCTATGCACCTACTGACCCACATAATCCCATATAAGTATTATTTATAAGAAGTGACTACCGGGCTTCCCTGGTGGCGCAGTGGTTGAGAGTCCGCCTGTCAATGCAGGGGACACGGGTTCGTGCCCCGGTCCGCGAAGATCCCACATGCCGCGGAGCGGCTGGGCCCGTGAGCCATGGCCGCTGAGCCTGCGCGTCCCGAGCCTGTGCTCTGTGGCGCGAGAGACCACAGCGGTGAGAGGCCCGCGTACCGCAAAAAAAAAAAAAAAAAAAAAAGAAGTGACTACCATTCCCCTCTCGTTCTGTAACTCATGCTTTTTCCCATTTAACAAATAGCATGGACAACCTTTCATGTCAGTTATGCATACGTTATGAATCAGAAATCCAAAACTCTCTGGGAGCCAGAGAAACACATTAAATGAGCAAAGTGAATTCATGTAGTGTAGAGACAATGGGTGGGCTCATGGTAAGCTGGTGAATACACACCGTTCATCGAAATAGGCAGCCGGTGCCTATGTTTTTGTCACGTTCTCACATTCCCGTGCCCGAATGTGGGTCTGTCATTGTTGGATTTTTTTATTTTCCAAGAGAAGCTAGAAGTCTGTAATTATTTACTTGAATTTTTCCAATTTTCCATGTACCATGAGGCCCATCTGCTGCTGGGCTGTAGGCAGTGATGCACCCACTTGCTACCTGAGGTGATGTACCTGATTCTGTTTATAGTAGTCTTTTTTGTTTTTCAGTGTATAGCATCTTATCCTTTATTTTTTCCCGCTTTCTCATCATTGAAGTTGATGTGCCTTTTTCGGCAATACCCGCAGGCACCCTCTCTCAGATTTGAAACTGATAATAGATTAGCCTGTAAAATAGCTCATCTGCTGTAGTCCTGTCAAGTTCTTCCTTCAGGACTTTATAGCCAGAGGCTGTGTACTCTTCTTTCTTAAATATGCAGAGAAGGATTCAGAGAAGAGCCTAAGAATTGCACAGGTTAGATGCAGACGGGAGTTCATGCCACTGCCCCACGCGTAGGGACTTGATGACAGGGGCAGCAGACGACCTGTCCGTGGGCCTGAGAGGTGTTGCATCCAGTCCACATGGGAGCAGGTTGCAGAAAGGGTCTGGTTCTCACTCTGACCCGTTAGAATAAAGGACTGTATTAATCCCCAACAGACTGTGGAGTCGACTCACCTCTTGTTCCTTGTTGTGCTGGCTCCGACGGGTTCTCTCCTTTTCAGATTATTTCATGACTACCTGAAAGCAGACCAACTAGGAGGGGCGTCACCCAGGCCCTTTGCTCCTGTATCTACTTCTCTGAACCTCCGTTTTCTCTCTGAGCTGTGTTTGCTGGTGGCCCAGCGTAGAGTTGCTGAGAGGATTGCATTTTAAGTAAGATGACTGTGCGGAAGAAACTAGCACAGCGCTCAGTAATGTTGGTTTTCTCTATTTTTAAGTGTTTTTTTTTTTTTTTGATGTAAAACTCTTATTCATGTCTCATTCAAATGAGCTTTAGAAATATAGACTTTTGTGGTTGGGGACTGTGTATTGACTGACATGAGTAGTGGTAGCATAATGTAGAGCTGTCATTTGTGGCATTAACGTGCTTTAAGCAGAAACTGATTTGTTTTGTTTTGTTGTTTATGGTTTTTGACGTGTTTCTGTTTTGGTCTGAATAGGAGGAACCTGATCTGGTTAGTGCAATTTATGGCCGAGGGATAGCCTATGGAAAGAAGGGATTACATGTGAGTATGGAATAGTTACGTCTGCCATAGTGTCTACGTGACCGGACTCGGACCAGGGTTCCCATAGAGCCCCTCACCGCTCCCCGGGCTCTGAGGGAATACGCAGTGGTGTCATTCCAGTTCACAGATGAGACCATGGCCATAGTGGACTTCTCCAAGATCAAGTGGCTGGGATGTGGGGGGATGGGAGTTTCTGCCCAGGTCTTCTGAGGTTACTTTCTATTCCAAAAGGACAGCCTTTGGCAGCCTAAACTTTATTTCATGATGAGCTGGACATAAGCCTAGAAAAACACGAGACCTTGACTGAATTCCTGAGAAACACTCATTGCTGTAAAAGAGAGACGGGGCATCAGTAGTGTAGTAGGACTTAGAATCTGAGTTCCTTCCACAATTTCTAAAGGTTGAGTAAAAGAACAAAGTTCTTTTTGTAAAATTTATTTTTAATTTGTTACCATACATTATACTTTCCCAGATAGATATGTCTTTGGAGCCTTATTCCCCTTATTTCTCTGAGGAATGCAGGAGGAAGGTTATAATAAGTATTGGATGGCCAGAAAGTTCCTCCGGGTTTTTCCATAAGATGTTCATATTTGTTTCTAAATAAGTAGTTATGTCATTACTAAGTTACTAGTTTTTTCAGAAAATCTATTGAAGCTGGTTTTGCATAACAGTATGTCCCATGATGTTACGGAAAAACCCGGATGAACTTTTTGGTCAACCCAATATATTTTGGTCAAACAAAGGCAGTATGGTATAAAAATGAAGACTTTTCCTGAGAGTATATAGTAAATAATGAAGTGGTCTAAGATCAGATGTCCAAATTTTCAGTCTTGAACGTTCTATGTAAACTTTTTCTAATATTTTATATTAAAAATATTCAAATGAAATTATGTCTTGAGGGAGAAGTGTCACTTTTGTATCTTTGCCAATTAAATAAACTGTCCTAATTGCCTGCCCGGCCTACTGGAGAAATCTTGTATAATGTTTGTATATTTCTGAGACTTGAGAAGGAAGACTGAGCAGGAACTCAGATTTGGGAATGCAGACATTTAGGAAGGAAACAATGTTACATTCAGAACATCAGTAAATAGCCCTAGTTAGGTTCAGGGCATCAGTAAATGACCTAAGTTGCCCTTAGTAAAGGTCAGCGATAAAGTGCTTCTTCCTCGTTCTCATCTCTTTTAATTTTATATCTTGATGTGAAATTTGCTTGTATCTTTAATGTAAAAGTAACATGTTCATATATTTTTGATATAAAGTAATGTGTAAATTTTAAAGAGAACAGGTTTACCTAGACTTCTCCAGGTGTAGGTGTGTAGGCCTAGGGGTTTTGATTGACGCTGACACGGCTCCTCTCTGTTCCCACATTGCCACTGGTCAGCATCATTTTGCACACTGGTGTCCATACATGCTCATCCCTTGAAATTTGTTGATGTGGTGTTTCAGTAGGTTAAATTGAGAAAATGTCTTGCCCTCTGTGGAACTTGGGATAGGTAGCCGGGTCCCATGAGCTGTTGATGGGTAGGTAGACTTGAGTGAGTTAAATAATTGCAATAGAGCTTATTTAACTTGGCCGATCTCTTATTTAGAAGCAAAGTTCATATTTATTTCTAAATAAGTAGCTATGTCATTGCTAAATTACTAGTTTTTTCAGAAAATCTATTCAAGCTGGTTTTGAGGAACAGTGTATCTCATACTAAGCTAATGCCTTTTCAAGGACATTAAGAATGCTGAGCTTTCTCTGTTCGAACTGAGCCGAGTAATTACCTTGGAACCAGATCGTCCAGAGGTATTTGAGCAGCGAGCAGAAGTGAGTGTGGTTTTCTTTTTCCCTCTGTTATTGGATTAGTCGAATCTCAGATTTTTTTCCCATTATTTTATTACTGAGAAATTTTAAAACTCCCGTATACCTATTGTGTTTTCCTCCATACATACATAACGCCTTTAAACACAGTTGAAATTACTAGAAAACTATGGGCCGACTGATACTCCTGATTTAACGTATAACAGTAACATTTAGTATTAAGGTGTACAGTTATGATGTGTACTACCACTGTCAATGTTTGTTGAAAAATATGTCACCGTGTTTATTGTATACATGACATACTTTAGCAAAACAATATGACAGTATGGTCAAATGAGATTTATAGCCTTTGGAAGCATGTGTGTGTGTGTGTGTGTGTGTGTGTGTGTGTGTGCGTGCGTGCACACTTGCATGTAATTTTTATGAGATATACCTATCTACACAGACATGTAGATCAGGTAAGGGTGACCATAACTGGAACTTGGGACTCACGGTGGAGACAGAGAGGCAACACGTGGTGACAGTTCCAGGTAACGTGTGTGACACTGGACACCGGGAGAGGGGCTGCTTGGTCAGGAGCAGAGAAGCATGGTCTGCTGGAGCCCTGGGACAGATTGGCAAGGGGAGAGGCGTGGGCGGTGTCTGCAGAGGCCTCACTGAAGAGGTGATGCTGGAGCTGGTCAGAAACCATGTCCTGGGGAGCAAGGTAGAGAAGGGCATTCAGGCCAGAAAAAGGAATGTGTGCAAAGGCACCCCTTACTGTTTTTAAATGAAATGGGTCCATTTTACCATTTTCATAAAACAATAGTAAACTATCCAGGTTTCATGTTGTATTTATTTTACTGCACATTTAACCATACGAAATGCTTTAGAATTTATGTTAATGTTTTCAATCTGAATAAAATGTAACTTTTAATTATCTGATCTGGTGGGATTTCATAGTTGGACTAAAGGGACAAATGACTTTTTCCCCCTCTCTTGGGGGAGAAAACTAGCAAGCAAAGGCCACGCTAAGGGTTTTAGTATTTTTAAAACTGCATTTGTGATGTTTTTGTTCTCAAAATTATAGTGTCTTAAGTTACAGTTCAGTTTCTTAAAATGAGTTTTTTGTTTTATTGGGGATTTGGCTTTCTGAAGGAAATTCCTTCTCAATTAATGAAAGAATTCGTTTTCTCATGTCACTTTTGGGTTGTAACCCTAAGGGTTAAGTGACCGTAATCTGTTCGCTGCTGCACGAGACTCCTGTTGGTTTTTAGGGTGAGCGTTCGGTGGTTCACTTGGTGACCTTCTGCTCCAGGGACTGGGTACTATGCTTTTCCCCGCCATTATGCTGATGCTGTGCTAAAGTGCTATGATAAAGCATGAATTTAATTAAGCACACTTAGAAAGAAGACTGATTTAGCAGCTTTAAAAAATTTGTATATCTAATAAAAAGCTAACTGTGTACCCCAAATGATGTTAGTAATCAGAAAAGTGATTTCCAATGATCTTAAAAATATACAGTAATATCCCCCTTTTCTGGCATCATCAGGCAATAATGTCATGACATAGTGGTTCTTCCAGCTAAATTACAGGATCCCATTTATATATGTCAGGAATTATTTTATAAGAAACCTTTCACTTTTATACTTTCTGAAATAGTCTATATTTAGTGAACATAATTTAACCTTTTTTAGTTACTCTGGTCATTATTATGCGTATTCAGTGTTGTGCTGGGGTGTGATAATTCACTCATGTCTCTAGGGGTTAATATACTGGGTTGGGATGTTTCTCCTTTGAAAATATAACCCTAGACCCCTATGCTTCTTGAACTCTAAGGGTATATTTTCCATTTCTTTCCTCTCTCTGAGCTTTCTTGCCCCTGGTCATGTGCCTGCTTGAATCTTCTCTCTCTTGCTGGTTTTAAGTTCCTGCAGAGGAGGAACCCAGTTAGTAAAACTTGATGGAAATGACCGATTATAAGAACAAAATTAACCCTAATTTAAGGACATTTGTTCCGGATAAATTGCTCGAGCTTGATTGCATGAATACTGATACCCATTTTGGGTTTTCTTATGTCATTTGGGTGAACTTCTGCATTCTGAGCTGTCTTCTGTATTGTCATTGTTGCCTGAACACAGCCGATGGCTGGATCAAAAGAGCATTCAGAACAGGCCTGCAGATGTTTCTTCACGGCCTTGCAGATCATGACTGATGAGTTGAGAGTCGTTCACAGAAAAGGGCTTACAAAACACCTGGAATCCTAGAAATTGCCATTCAGCGCTTAATACTACAGACGGCATAGCTAGACGCCATAGAGGACTCCAATCCGTGTTTAACAATTCCTCTATTTTAATGGTTCAAAGTTATCTTTCAGATTAATTTGACATGCCAAATTTTGTTTTGAAAGGTAAATGATAGGTTGGGGAACAAATGGTCACACTTCAAGAAAAGCAACATCTGCTTTGACCTAGAACATGAAACAATGACAAGGCAATTGCCATGGTCATAGTTCATCCGCATCCCCTTGGCTGGACAAGATCGGCAGCCCCTCAGCTGTTGACTTTGAACCTCACTGCATAGTACGTGGCGTCAAGGGTTCTAGACTGCTGAGAGGGTCACCTTGTGAATGTGGGGTGGTGAAGCGGAATTGAAAAGTCTAAAACGTTGACGGTCGTAGGGGCGATCGTTGGGACTTTTCTCCCCTAATTACATTTTTGGGTTTATAGATTCTGTCCCCTCTGGGACGAATTAATGAAGCAGTGAATGATCTCACTAAAGCTATTCAACTTCAGCCCTCAGCACGGCTGTACAGACACCGCGGGACCCTGTATTTCATATCAGAGGTGAATTGTTCTTGCCTTACAACGTGCCCTTTCATGATGATAAAGATTTCTCCTTTCCTTCTACTTCAGAAGGCTGCTATTTGATAGATTTGGGTTTGGGGCTGTATAATAATAGTTCATGATATAAGACAGTTATGAAAGCATTTTCTTTAGCTGGAGTCGAACCCAGTGGAGAAATATTAAGTACCAGAAACACATATTCTTGCTTGAACTGTCAGCAGTAAGTAATTCTGGGCTGGGGGAGAAAAGAAAGAGTGAGAAACAGAAGAAGAGAAATTTGGTTTACAGATTATACCTTAACTGTGCTTGCAGATGTCAGCACAGAGAAGCAGGTATGCATGTTGTCAATGTGTGATCATTAAACTTAGAGGTACAATTTGAATTTCTTTGGGTATCACAACCCGAAAACCATAACCTGAACTAATGCGGCTTCCCAGACTGTAGCTTCTCAATCTAGCAAGATCATCTTTTATCATCAGAGTGGTACTTACGACTGCCATAGCTATTTTTGTGGGCTTACGGTCATTTTAATAACAATTTTCTATTGCAAAAGAAAGTAGATTTTAAAAAATCTCAACATAACACATTTTAAGGTTGATCTATGTCCTAATTATTTTAGAATTCAGTATAATAAAATGCTAGTACCAGCAAATAATTTGTAAAAGTTCTATAACAGATTATGACTTTAATGAAATTTAAAATAATATTCTTTTTTGTGGCTGAGACAGTGTGCTTAAATTAAACCTTTGTGAGTTTCTCCTGTCAAATGAAATCGACTCTTTCAACAGAGTAAGCATTCTTCTAATATTCGTGGTCATGAAATGTTTCCTTTAAAGCCAGAAAGGGCACAGACTAAATTGGGATTTCTTTTCCTCTATATCAGTCGAAAGTAGGACATGTCCAAATATCTAACGAATACTACTTTATTTATTTATTTTTCATTCTCCTTTTTGTAGGACTATGCAACAGCCCACGAAGACTTTCAGCAGTCCTTAGAACTGAACAAAAACCAGCCCATAGCTATGCTATACAAAGGTTTAACTTTCTTTCACAGAGGACTTTTGAAGGTGAAAGTGCTGTGCAATATGTGTACCTACAGCAATCCTGCTTCTCCTTTGCGGTGAATTGAGCGGGGTTTAGTCTGGCAGGTTTTCAAATGACGTCTCAAGTGTCTCATTGGTTTATTTTAGAAAGTCGTTTGCATCGAGATATTTATTGAGCGCCTACTATCTGATAGGTACTTGGAGGAAGGTGCAGAAGGGGAGAGGACGAAAGGTTATAAGGGAGAAATAATGCTTTACACTTGGGACGAATACAGTTTACAAAGGTTTTCCCCACAGATAACTTATCATAGGGTGAATACACGAAAGAAAGCAGTAAAAGCAGAGTGCTTTGGAAGCAGAGGTGAGAAAGAGTCATTTGAACTCGGGGGTTAGGGAAGGTCCAGAGAACAAGTGGACTTGGTCCTGACCTGGAAGGCAGAGCAGGGCTGGGAAGGAGAAGGGCTCTGAGGGCGAGAGGAAGGTGTGAGTGATGACGTGGGGGGCGGGGCCATGGTCAGGCCCTTGAGCAAATAGGCAGGTTGAGTGTGAAGGGCTGCAGCACCGAGAGGGGCCCTGAAAGGTCTCGGGTGCGGACTTGAGTTGCTAGGCCCAGAGGGCCTGTGAAGTCTAGATCTGGGGGGAAGTACAGAGTTGAGACCCAATCTGTATTGAGGAAGTCGTTGCTGATGCAGCGGTGGCCGAGGAGGGTAGGGACAGGGGGACTGCTGAGGGGGTCGCTGGCCACGTTCAGGTCAGGGGCGGCCAGACTGCCTCGGGTCCTCTGGGGGCTGCAGGAGCGGTCCCAGTGCTGTCCCTTGAAGGCTGCTGTGGGAAGAAAGAGGCGAGGGACACAGGAGAGGCTCTGTGTCAGCTGAGTGGGGCAGGGACGTCACTGCCAGCCTGCCTGCCCCTTCTCCTGCCCGAGACTCTCCGTTCTCCGAGCCTGTTTGGGGAGCCTGTCCTGCGGCAGCTTCTTTCCGGCCGGGGCGAGGGGCAGAAACACGGCTGAGAGTGGAGCTCTGGCTCTCACCCAAGGCCTGACACTCCCAACTGCCCGACTGAAGACAGCCGGCCTGAGAGTCACAGACGGTCTGGCCGCCTAGGTGAAGACACTCATTCTGACCAGGAGGTGGAGAATTCAGAGTAGGCTGCACTTAACCCTGAACTTGGAAAGGTGGGAAGAGCTTCAACAGCCTGTGGCAGAGAAGGGTACTCTGGCAGAGAGAGCATGCGTGTGATTATTGAGAATAGTTCTGAGGATCTGACACACACATAAACACACACACTGGGAGGGTGGGGAGAGGGTTTACCTCTAAAAAGGCCACAAGTTGTAAGTCCTCCGTGTTACAGACAGTTCCTGTCACATAGTAGGTGCTCAGTAGCAATCAGTGGGGTAAATGCATATCAAGGGCAGAGAGCTGAATTGGAGTTGGAAGGCCTTGCTCTGAGCTCTCGCTCTGAATCTTATTAACTGCACTGCTGAAGCCGCTGCTTGAACTCTTTGAGCCCGTCTCTCCACATTTATCAGGCAGAGATGATGCTACTGTCTGCCTCTTGAAGTGAGAGTGAGGCTTCCATAAAACAACACGTGTGAAAAGCCCTTTATAAACCGTAAACCGGAATCAGGTATTGATTATGATACAGATGATTTTACGTGTGAGAATGTAATTTCATGGAAGTTTTGTGGATTCTAAAAAATAACTCCCGTCCGTTAAAAACCAAACTAGAAGGAATTTTGCAAATCTTACTTCATACACCTCATCTCCGTTTTGCAAGTATGTGGAGGTGGTCCTAACAGGGACCCTTTCCGTCCCCCTTCGAGGATTCGGACAGGCAGTGCAGGCTTTGAGTTATTTAACATGTGCTTTGAGCAGCTGCCAGGTGACGTCTTCCAGTTTATTTTATCTCTGCCGTCTGTCTTCTCATCTTCTCTCAGTCCCCTTCAGTTAAAAAATTGAGAATCGCAATGCTGTGTTCAGAGTCTCTCCCTAGAGTATCACGTGGAGGAGAAAGAGATCTGAAATAGAAAAAAAAAAAAAAGGCCAATTATTAGTACTAAGAGGGTCCAGATAATTTTTAAAGTAAACAAATGCAAACAGTTGATTTCACTTTTAACTGTAAAGCCATGTTTAGGAACGTGGGCAGGGCCCTTTGTGTTATTTCGAAATGAGAATTTTTCAGCAAAGAGCCATAACAGAGACACTAAGTAGAAAATGGACATGGACCAAAATTCAGTTTGGTTTGTTCCAAACCTCCTGGATGAAGACCTAGAAACAGGGCTTTCATTCTCTGAGTGTTGGCAGCCCCTCAGTGAACCAGTCTCACCAAACGGTTTGGTCTTCCCTCCTTTTCACCACGCCCACCGACACAGCAGCAACGTGTGTAATAGATGGGAACTTTTTCTTTGCATTTTATAGATCTGCCGTCCGAGGAGGTCAGGGTGTTTCCGTAGCGTCTCACTCATCCCAAAAGCATCCCCGTGAAGTATAGAAGGAGCAGAAGGTGTCCCAGTTACAGAGATTGGAAAACTGAGTCAGTGGTGAAATGCCTTAATTAAATTAATGAACTTAGTTCAGATATCTCTGTTTCTCTCGTTAACTGTAGAGACAAAGTATTAAATGGACCAATGAGTTTGAGCTATCTCTGTACTCTAAAGGTGGTCTCTCCAGGTCAACAGCAGTTTAGAAACAGAGTGGGTGATGGCTTCTTTACTTTATGATATAATGCATTAGAAATATATTAGGATATATTACATGACAAATTTCACAATTGTCCAATTCAGAAGATATATCAGACATTTTGGATTTTCCTAGGGAGTAAAACAGCAAGAACTTTTCTACTGAATTCTACCCATGTTGTAAGGATATTTCAAAAATTGTATATTATAAGCCTTTACTTTGAGAGTTACCTGCGTTTGTTCTGTTCAGTTATACCGAACAGCCCCAGGGCGATGGCTGCCCTTTAGCTAGTAAAGAAGATGGTGACTTAAGTGGTGATGATTGCATTCACAATGCCAACGAATTCAGAGCCAGTTCATGTGCTTAGAGATTGATTCAACGAACGTAGTTTCTTTGTTCCCAATGGCTCAAAATCTTGATTCTGCTATGTCCCCTCTTTGGCAGAATGAGGTAGAGAGCTGTGCAGTGATTAGACAGGAACCCCGAAACCAAAGACTTAAAAGCTGAAGAGAAATCAGACTTTGAAGAACTGTGGCGTCCAAGCATGCAGTAAGTGCAGTGGGCAGCAGCCGCCTCCGGGGCATCTCCACTAGACGTCCACAAACACCCCAGACATCACACGCCCCAGTGGACTCACAACCTCCCCCATACTTCCTAACATTCCTTAACGCCTCCCTCCACCCAGGCTCTCAGCCTAAACTCTTCCTGCCCTCTCTTCTCCCTCATCCCTCCCTCGTACCCAGACAGCCACCAGATTCTCTCTTAGTTTGCCTTTAAAACTCCCGAATTTGACCCTTCTTTCCCTCTCCTCAGAGGCGCTGTCTCAGTCTGAGCTTGCATTATCTCTTGCCTGTTCCATCACAGCCGCCTCCCATCTGGGCCCCATCCTCTCCCCTCTCCAGCGTGTCTTCTTTTTTTTACCAGCAGTTTTCATGTTTACAAAGAGTAAATTTTGCGAGGTCCCACACCTCCTCAGAGCCCCCAGTCCTCGTTGCTTCCTTCCTTCTGGCCCCGGCTTTCCCTCTTCCCCACTCCCCCAGACCCCACGCCCTCCGCACTCCTGCCCCTCCGGCTTCCCCAGCGTCGGTGAGCGCTCTGTGCCGCTGTGCGGTGCCGCCTGCCCCGTCCACGATGCCCTCTTGCTTTACCAAACTCCTCGTTCTTTAAGACCCAGCTCAGTTGTCAGTGCCTCTGTACAGCCTCTTCTGGTCTCCCAGGCTCAGTTTAGGGGTTTCTTTCTCTTTATTCCCAGAGCCTCTTCCTCACATCTCTGCTGTAGCTCTTAGTTTGTATTCTAATAAACTGGTTACCTACTTGGCTTTCTAATGACACTGTGAGTTCTCAGAATACAGAGGTAATGACTCACCCATCTTCGTGTCCCCTATCCTCCTGCTATCCCTGGCACATAGTAGGCGCTCAATACATGTTTGTCGAATTAAAAGTACAGTTGTACAAATCCTAAAAGATAGAGATTATGTCACGGCAGGAAGCCCAATGAAGAGTGCTCTTTTACATTTCTTCGGTGTTAAAATTTACCCGTTCTCATCTTTCACCCAAACAGTAGCTATTCAGTGGCGTTCCTTCATGAGGCGATTTAGTCCTCAGTATTGCCTTTGAAGAGTTTCAAAGCCAGCCTCTCTTGCCCTGCTGGCCCCCTCTGAGAAAATCAAGAAGCAGGGGCTGAATGACTTTCTGAAAAGAATCAAGATTGTATAGCTTTTGCAAAACTATTTTGTGTGCCTACCGGGGCATTAAATATTTATTGAGTGCCTACCATGGGCAAGGCATTTGATATCTTTAGTGGTTTTCTGCTCTGAATTCTCTAATCAGGTTGAAATGATCTATTCCTGAAGTTTTAAAGTCAAGTCTTTCTCAATTAAAGCTCTTAGAGATTGTGAGCCTTTATAGCCGTTAAGTCAGATATGTCTTTTCCTTGGGAAATGTCTTCGTAATTTTTTTTTTAATCACAATAAATAGAGTCATAATGAAAGGTACGTTCAATCCCAGTGTAAGCCTAGGATGTTTATTCTGAAACATTTCATCACTAATTTTTATTTTATCACCAATTTCCCCAGAGAGTCCCCCTGCAGCCAAGTGCACTGTGGTTCCGAGGGCTCCCCTGAAAGCATAGTGTGTGCAGCTCTGGGCCCTTAGTGCCGCCTTGAGCTGTGCTGCCAGGAGTCATGCCCACCTGCCCCCAACTTGAAGGTTTCTCCTGAATTTTACGGCTTCTTTTTTCCTCGTAGATCATGGGAATCCTTCAGGTAGCTATCCTGGGAGCCTTTCTTCTTGTTCTATAAATAATTTCACATTGGGCTTGCTTTTTTTGTCTCTTCTGTTGGTTCACTTTCAAATGCTGCTAGCTGTGATCGTTTTGCATCATTTCACACAGCTATTAGGCTTTCTTTTGTTCCATAGGGTTTTTATTAATTAAGGAAATGATATTAAAATGCAGGTGTTATCAGTACTCAAAGTCCTAATGAAAAAGAGAGTGAGAAGCTGTTTTCCCATTTTGGAAGGAGAAACTTTAGGCTCTGTTGTTGTTCATAGTAATGCATTTGTTTACTGTTGAAATTAAATCCTCCAGACTCATAGTTTATTGTACTTTCTACCTCTCTCTTTTTTTTTAAGTCCTCCTATTTAAAAAAAAAAGTACTCAGAGACCATGTATTATATATATATATATATACATATATATATATATATATATATATGTATGTATGTCCTTTAGTGATTTGAGAGAAACTCAATTTTAACAGTTAAGCAAATGAAACAATTTTCTATATACTTTTTACAGGAAGCTATTGAATCCTTCAAAGAAGCTTTGAAGCAGAAAGTTGATTTTATTGATGCATATAAAAGTCTGGGGCAGGCCTATAGGTAAGTAAAGTATTAATAGTTGGGGTAGGAGGGAGGGCATAGAGTAGGATAGCCTCACATAATAGTGATTTTTTTAAAAAAACGCATTTCTTAACCAAAAGAGAAGGTCATTCTAAATCACATAGGCATTCACATACTTATTAAGATCTTCTCTGGAACATAGAGAGAACCACGGGTAAGAGGATATCGTGATGCCTGTTACTGTGTCTTAAAACAACCTCGGTCTGTATATATTAGTCTAGAAGACGTTAGTCCTTCAAGGGTTGTTGCTTTGAATAGTGGCATTATAAGCTGCTGAGTTACAGACGCTGCTGCCTTTTTAGGCAGTAACTAAGGTTAATACCCACATCACTAGGATCTGTTTGAAGATTCCTAGAATTGCGGGATGGAAATGTTACAGTTATGATGCATCTCTATAGAGTATGAGTAGTTGTGCCTGAACCCTGGCTTCTTGACTACATGCATTGCCCTGACCAGCAAAGCTATTCTGACTTTTGGCTTAAAAATTTTTTAACATTCTGACTCGTATAAAGGTGCTATAAATTAGGAAAGAGAGAGACAGTAATAGAAATCCCCTGTTAAACCCTGTTAGGTGCCTTATTCAGGAAGGATTACATTTAAGAGCTTATTTATCCGATGCCATAGTTGGAAAAGCTCTCATACTGACTTGGAGAAAGTGTGTTTGGATTTGTTCTAGGTTTAAGGGATGATATTTATCCTTCCTGTCCCACAAAATTGTTGGGTATATAAATTGAAAACAGATTTGAAAGCACCTAGTAAATAGTAAAGTGCTGTATAAATGTAAGTGGGTGTTATATATATATATTTTTTAAATCTTCATTATTTATAGAAAGTTGACATATGGGATATTTTGAAGGTTCTTCAATTATTTATAAAAATTTTGATATATAAAAGAGGGCAAGGCTGGTCAGTAATAACCATTTCCACTCTGAAATGATCACAATTCTGAAATATACTTCTTATTTCAGAATTTTAAAGTAGATAATGATTTACTGGATTTTAAGAGAAGTACCTTCAGTGACAGAAAAAATTAAATTATAAGCCTATGAATTTGATTCGCAATGATATACCTCTGTATGATTATAACCTACTTACTTTTTTCCAAAGGAGAAACATATGTTTCTATCCAGATAACTAAAATTTACACAAAGTTTTTTTAGGGGTTGGAGCTGATCATGAGTTGGGGAAAGGGATTTGAATAAGCATTTGTCTTTGGAAATCAGTAAATTAATTTTCCCCCAAAGAATTTCAAGAGTTCTATGGTGATCCTATAATCTGGTAAGATTTAGAAAAAGTAAGTAGGATATGATGCGTCAAAGGCTAAGTAGCTATAAAGTGGTAAAATAAAAAAGCAAACACCCACATTAAAGTATCGTATTTGTAGACTGAACCATCATTCTGAGGATAACTTATTCTGTGTGTTTACTGAAACGCCTATACTATGTTCATCGCTATTGTTAAACACCTAGAGAGCTGGGCAATTTTGAAGCAGCCACTGAGAGCTTTCAAAAGGCTCTGTTGCTGAACCAAAATCACGTGCAGACCCTCCAGCTTCGGGGAATGATGCTTTACCACCATGGCAGCTTGCAGGAAGCCCTTAAGAACTTCAAGGTGAGCATCCGTAAGTGAGAAGCAACGTAACTGCAATTCCGCGTCATTCTTCAACAAAGTTCAGTGAAATGAACGGGATCAGCAGGGAGGGCGGGTAAGCATAGTGCTTATAGTTCAGCAAAAAGAAAGAGGAGAAAACCGTGGCCTGGTCCTGTAGACTGATTGACTGAGGATGTATTAGGTCCGATTTAACCTGGAGAGAAAACTTTCCTAACTCCAGATTAAAGAAGAAAGTACTTTAAAGTTTCCTTAAACTGTATTGATTCTAATACAGCATTTTCTCCTTCGATGCCTCAGCGGTGTCTGCAGCTGGAACCGTATAACGAGGTGTGCCAGTACATGAAAGGACTCAGCCACGTAGCAATGGGACAGTTTTATGAAGGGATAAAAGCACAAACGAAAGTTATGCTAAATGACCCTCTCCCAGGCCAGAAGGCCAGCCCAGAGTACCTTAAAGTGAAATACCTCCGAGGTAAGTCAAACAGCTGCAGAGTCACTGACCCTGAGTGCTTGGAGTAAGAGTTGATACTGCTTGTGTCTCTGGTGTTCCATGTTAGGCAGTTGAGTCTCAGAGCAGCTGGGTGACTTGTCCTCAGCTGCCCCTTGGTTAGTGGTGGTATCTGGGCTAGAGGGGCGAGCCCATGTCTTCTAAAGGCCAATCCAGTGTTTTTTTGTTTTTTTTTTCTCTTCCTCACATTATTTCTTTCTAAAGTTAAAAAATTTTACTTATGCCAAAAAAACATAGTTTGACCTAAATGTGACAATCATCTGGGTATCCATGACTTGCCACACCTCATCCAGAGATATAGGAATGACAGGAAAGGAACATTTTATGAGGTTTTTACTGTTAAATAAAAACTTGGTATCTTTGATCTGTCATTCCTTCATATCAGAATTCCCACATAGTTTGGAGAATTTAAATTGAGATAAAGAAGAAAGCAGATCTTTGGGTTATCCTTCTATTAGACAGTCTTACCCTTTTTCTGCCATACATAAAGACATTTTTGTTTTTCATATAAAGCCCAAGTCTTTACTTTTATTCCTTCTCTTTCCTTTATCACTAGCCCTCTGTACTAGCACTGTCCAAGTGAAAACATTTACAAGCCATGTGTGTAATTTTAAATTTCTAGTAGCCACATTAAAAAAGTAAAAACGAACGGGTGGAATTCATTTTAATAATATATCTTATCTTATTTAACTCGGTACATCCACAATATTAGTTCAATATATAATTAATATGAAAACACTATTTATTGGATATTTTACATTTTTTGGTACTAGTCTTTGAATATGGCATATATTTACACTTACAGTTCATCTCAATTTGGATGCTAAATTTTCATTGGAAATACTTGATCTGAACTTAGATTTCATAAAGTTTAAAGTTGGAAAAGTAGACTGATATATGTAAGTTGTTCCAAACCTACGGCAGTTTTCTAATAATTGAATAAAATATCAGTTTTAAGTTTAAATTAATTCAAATTAAGTAAAATCTAAAGTTCAGTGCCTCAGCCACACTAGTCACCCCTTAAGTTGTCAGTAGCCAGCTGGCTAGGGATTACCTTTTCGACAGCACAGCTCTTTACTCTAAATTGTAATTCCCTCTATTTTCCTGGTTTAGGAGAACTTGGACTTGTGAACTATAGACTGAAGATGGGGGCACTCCACATCCTGGTTTTTTCTACACCGCGTCCCTAGAGATAAGCAGCAGTTGGTCAGCCAGTTGATGAAATCGCATACGTAGTCAGTAGATCTATTAGTTGAGAAGGAAGCAGGCTCTGTCTAACACTGAACTTGCATTCCCAGACTCTGGAATTGAATAGTGAGATCTTTGGTGTTGCTTATGGAAAGGTGGTTAAAATTTAGCCGAAGTGGACCCTGATTGACTGGCTTGTATTTGACCCTGGTAACTCAAGTCAGCAGCAGGCCACCTCCGTTATCATATAATAGTGACTTGCTAAAATTTGGAGTCTCCATTTAGAATTCTTGTAATTTTTAGAAATAAATTTATTTATTTATTTATGTTTGGCTGCGTTGGGTCCTCGTTGCTGTGCGCGGGCTTTCTCTAGTTGTGGTGAGCCGGGGCTACATTTCATTGCGGTGCGTGGGCTTCTCATTGCCGTGGCTTCTCTTGTTGCGGAGCACGGGCTCTAGGCGCAGTGGGCTTCAGTAGTTGTGGCGCGTGGGCTCAGTAGTTGTGGCTCGCCGGCTCTAGAGTGCGGGCTCAGTACTTGTGGCGCACGGGCTTAGTTGCTCCGCGGCATGTGGGATCTTCCCAGACCGGGGATCGGACCCGTGTCCCCTACATTGGCAGGCGGATTCTTAACCACTGCGCCACCGGGGAAGTCCCAGAATCCTCGTAATTAAATAACGGTTTGTTATGAGGTATTTGTACAGACTGGCTATAAAAAATTACAGTTAGCTATAAAAACCGTCTCTTTGGCATATCCGGGTGTGTCAGATCCCATTTCCCATCCGCAGAGTATTCTCGATATCTTCATGCACACCTTGATACTCCCCTTACGGAATATAACATCGACGCGGACCTGCCCGGGAGCTTTAAAGACCACTGGGCTAAGAATCTGCCTTTCCTCATAGAAGACTACGAAGAGCAGCCAGGGCTGCAACCCCACATAAAGTGAGTGCTTTATTTATTTGTTTATTTTTTGCATCTTTATTTGAGTAGAATTGCTTTACAACGTGGTGTTAGTTTCCACTGTACAACGAAGTGAATCAGCTATACGTATACATATATCCCCATATCCCCTCCCTCTTGCGTCTCCCTCCCTCCCACCCTCCCTATCCCACCTCCCAGGTGGTCACAAAGCACCAAGCTGATCTCCTGTGCTATGCAGCAGCTTCCCACTAGCTATCTATTTTACATTTGGTAGTGTATATACGTCAGTGCTACTCTCAAAGTGAGCGCTTTAAGTGAAGATTTTTTTTTTCTTTTTCAACACTGAGCTGTAAGTTCATCATAATATCTCTTGGTCAGTAAATGGCTTTCTATTCATGTTTCTGATGAATTTATTTTTGAATTGGGTATGTCCGCAAATATTTCTTTTCTTTCTATTCTTTGGACATCGTCTTTCCTTTTAGTGCGACATTCCCTGCTATTGTGGGGTAACTTCAAACTTCAAATGTACTTGTCTTCTTGGTAGCGTTTGATATGCATTATTCCTTTACCGTGTTACTTTAAAACAAATTTCTTAACATATTAAAAGTTTGAAATTACAGCACTGGCCAATACTGCTGCAATATGGCAAAATGGATATGCTAAAAGGCTATCCCATTACAGAACAATTAGATTTAGAATAGAAATTAATTCCTGGCAGTCTAGCAGTGTCTTAAAAATTAGGAAAAATCTGTAAAGATCAGCTCCCTCGATGCCTAAAAAGAAAGAAAAGAGAAGGTATTCAAACTACAGTGATGGATGGTAAACACATTTTAAAGGAGGAAGGTATCCTCTCCAGTGGAGTGCCTTGAGGCATGGCAGGGTGGGTTTGTTGACCTTCAAAGGGCTAAAGTGATCCCATATTGGAGGCATTCCCAGGATCTCAACAGAAGCAGACGCAGATCCTTCCTGGGGAGAAATTAGTGCCAATTTGTAGCCCAAGTATTCCCACAGATTAAGATCATTAGTGTGAGAATGAAAACCAAGATGACCGAAACCATTTGTGAGAATCAACAGAAGCCACAAACAATAGACTTTGACCTTTAAGGACTTCAGATATTGGAATTGTTGAAAACAGACTTTACAGTAACTCCAAATGAAATGCTTGAAGAAATTATGAAGAGATCACAAACATGAGCAAGAAACATGAGATTATAAAAAATGACCAGACAGATGCCACAGGCCCAACATGCTGCAGACCAAAAAAATAAGCTCTAGGAATAGAAAATATAATCATTGAAATGAAGAATTCAGTATACAGGCTAAAAAGCAGATTAGATATAGCTGAGGGAAAATGGCAGAATTGGAAGATAGAGCACAGACAGTCAAGGAGTTAGAAAACTTGAAAGAGAGCAGATACGTAAAATGTAAGAAGGGCTAACACTTGCGTGTGTAATTGAAACTCCCAAAGGAGAAAATGGATGAGAGGCAATATTTGAAGAAATAATGGCTAAGAATTTTCCAGAACGAAGGAAACACATACATTCATAGATTTTTTTTTTTTTTAAAAAAGCAGGGTAAACGAAAAAAAAATCCATTTAGACACTTCATAGGTAACTGGAGAACACCTAAGGTAAAGAGAAAAATCTTAAAAATAGGAAAGTCATATCACCTACTTAGAGTCAATTATTGGACTGACTGTAAACCTTTCAACACCAACAGTTTCTGCAAATAAAAGTCAAACAGCTAATTAGAAAAGTGCAAAAGACATGAACAGGTAATTTCATCAAGGGGGAAACATGAATGGCAAACATGAAAAGATGCTTCAGTTCATAAATATATAAGAGCACATGAGATGCTTCACCCACTAGGTAAACAAATATTAACAATACGAAGTCTGATAATAGTAGTATTGACCAGGAGGAGGATATGGGGAAATTTCATACACTGGGGTATAAATTGCTCCATGAACTTCTGCCAGCAGTTTGTCCTTATTGTGTAAAATCGAATATCTGCACGTCCTACAATCTTTAAGTTCTGCTCCTGTGTATATTCAGGAGAGAACCATGTACCTGTGCACATGTCTGCTTGGAGACCTGTTGATAGCAGTTTCTTTGTTCGCAACTGAAAACGAAATCATCCCAAATGTTCATGAACAGAAAAACGGATAAATGTGGTACTGTCACATAGGGGGTATTATACAGCAGTATAAACAAATGACCCAAGCAACAGTGTGGACTAATTTTGGAATATAAAGTTGAGTAAAAACAGCAAGTTGGTACACTGCAGGGTCACATCATTTTTCCCATAGAGCTCATAAGCAAAACTATAGAATATATTGTTTAGGGATATACATATGTAACCTGATTTTTAAAAGAAGAACGTCAGGGAATTGTGAACACAAAATTCAAGATAAGTTACCTCTTTCTGGGAGGCAGGAGGATAGGACAGGAAAGTGGCACACAAGTAGGTAGAGCTACATAATTGTCCAGGTCCTTTCGTTGAGTAATGAGGTTGTATGCTTTTGTAAGTTTCAATAGTCAAGATAATAAAAACCAAATAGATTGCTCAAAGAGGTATGTATGTTCTCTAGCACCCCTTTTTAGAGAAATACTTACGTGCAGGAAAGGGGGGGCCTGAAGGGCTGTCCTTGGAGAGGCCTGCTCACCAGGCTGGCCCTGGGCTGGCGTCTGGGAACGGGGATTTCGGGATCTCCCCCTACCCCCAAGTGCCCAGAGCTAAGAATGGCTCCCAGCACCTGCACCATGTGCGTGAACGGTGTGGCTCATGCTGAACACCTGCCCTCCTCTGGGGGCCTAGGGTACCTGCCAGGCAGGGGTGCTCACGTGGTCAGCCCCCAGTACAATTCCTGGGCACGGCGTGTCCAGTGAGCGTTTCACTCGGGGAATTAATGCCACGTGTCTCCCCAGGGTCCTGGAAGTGCGCCTGGATTCCTCTGGACCTCGCCCCACGTGCCTTTTCCCTCTGACGATTGTGCTGTGTCCTCAGAGCCACGAGTACAACTGTACACAGAGCCTGGGAGTCCTCCTAGTGAATTACTGAACCCTTGGGGAAGCTGACACAGCCTGTAACTTAGAATTGCAGTCTTTGTTATGAAAACTTTTAGCAGGTTGGCGGGTAAACAGTAGCAGTCACATACACAGTCCCAAGGACACTTGGCATCATGTAACTTGGGGCCGGAGCAGGAGATGGACGTAGGGTTGGGTTTGGTTGCTTGTCAAAAGAGGCAGTCCCTGTGTTCTGGAGAGGTTTACAGAACAAATAAGGCTCAGACGTGTCTTCTGAATTGCAAACTAGTTATCAGCGTTACCAACAAGCACGTGACAGCGACTGTGCACACGCTGTCATGAAGAGTCCTGCTTTGAATTTGTGTCTGGTTGGGTAGAGACCACTGAAGTAAAGATTATGTGGTCAGAAGCTCCTTGATTATTTTTGCAGTGGAAGAAGCAACTGCTTTTCGGGTGAAACTGGATGACCAGATATCTGTGGTAAAAGTCTTTATCATGTACGTAATGTTTTTTCCAGAGATGTGTTACATCAGAATTTTGAGAGTTATAAGCCCGAGGTCCAAGAGCTGATTTGTGTAGCTGATCGTTTGGGATCTCTGATGCAATATGAAACACCTGGTTTCCTGCCAAACAAGAGAATACACAGAGGTATTTTAAAACTATCTGAAAATGGAAGTGTTTATGACAAAGGAGCAGAGGATTGGTAAAACCACGTTGTACTTTTGAAAAGAATCATTTGTTGTGCTTACTGAAAATCTCCATGTGATCAGAACAGAAATGTATAGATTCATTCACACTGAATTCTGAGAGAAGACTGCTTCCAGCTTTGGCTCTTATGCTGTTGCTTTGGTGTAGATGTAGAAGGTAGGTCTTCAGTCATTGCTGTAAATCAGACACAGCTCAGCCACCAGAGCTGTCTCCTTACTGTAGGGTGAGGAGGGATTTGAACCTCAGTTCTTTCAGGATTGGGAGCAGACATGTGTGAGGTTGTCTTCAATTTCCTCTGATAGAGTTGAGCTTTAGTCAGACCATCATGTAATGCATCTGTGGTCCTGTTAAGTTACCAATACTTGTGATTCTTTTTGTTTTCCCTGGTTTATTTTCATATTTATTTTAATTTTTATTCTATTTTTGCCTTTAAAATTTTTTGTCATTTTTTTAAATCATCTCTATTGGAGTATAATTGCTCTACAATGCTGTGTTAGTTTCTGCTGTATAACAAAGTGAATCAGCCATATGCATACGTATATCCCCATATCCCCTCCCTCTTGCGTCTCCCTCCCACCCTCCCTATCCCACCCCTCTAGATGGTCACAAAGCACCGAGCTCATCTCCTGTGCCATGTGGCTGCTTCCCACTAGCCATCTATTTTACATTTGGTAGTGGATATATGTCCATGCCACTCTCTCAGTTTGTCCCAGCTTACCCTTCCCTCTCCCCGTGTCCTCAAGTCCATTCTCTACGTCCGCGTCTTTATTCCTGTCCGGGCCCTAGGTGCATCAGAACCAATTTTTTTTTTTTTAGATTCCATGATTCTTTCGCCGAGTTGTCGGCAAAGATCATTCCCTCTAAAGGGTACCTACAAACTCTGTTTTCCCCACATTGCCTTCTTTTAGCCATGGGTTTGGCAGCCTTAGAAGTCATGCAAGCTGTACAGCGTACGTGGACCAGTTCAAAGGTTCGAATGAATGGGAAAACGCGGCTGATGCAGTGGAGAGACATGTTTGACATCGCAGTGAAGTGGAGACGGTAACTGACGTTTCAGTGAAAATAAGCTACACGTCTTATAATTGTCAGAAAACATTAAGTCTCCTCTAGTTCACAGGTTTTGAATCCCATTTTATTTACTAATAATTGGCCTTTGTAAGTTATGTTTTCCTCTCTAAAGTTTGTCAGAAATTCCTGACATCGTTATTCTTTGAAATACACTCGACAAATATTTATGAAATAGGAATTGATCGTTGCCGTGCTTCGGAGCACATTTTTAAGTGAAGTGTTGTAGAAAAAGCGGTCTCTCTGGAAGAGCATATCGTTCATTACCTGTGGTACCTTTGAACGAGCTTCAGTGCACCAGTCTTCTTATGCTTGAAGTGTGGGCCTGGCCAACCAGCTACAGTTTAGAGGGGGAACCGCTGATACTCAATTTTCATGAGAAAAATCCTGCTCTACTAGTAAACCTGTACCGACGTCTTGCTTGGTCCAGTTAGAACATCTTTTTGGAATGTGCAGGTTTGTGTTTCATACTTTTAGATGTAATGGACTGAGCAGTTGTTTTCCAAAGACCTCTACATGTTTTATTTTGAATGCTTTTGAACATTTCTAGGTTTTATAAGGTCTTTTTTTTCTTTTTCTTTTTGCCGTACGCGGAACTCTCACCGTTGTGGCCTCTCCTGTTGCGGAGCACAGGCTCCGGACGCGCAGGCTCAGCGGCCACGGCTCACGGGCCCAGCCGCTCCGCGGCATGTGGGATCTTCCCGGACCGGGGCACGAACCCATGTCCCCTGCAGTGGCAGGCGGACTCTCAACCACTGCACCACCAGGGAAGCCCAGGTCTTCATTTTTAAATAAGCTCTGTTTTACAGGATTGCTGACCCAGACCAGCCAGTGTTATGGTTGGATCAAATGCCAGCACGAAGTCTTAGCAGAGGCTTTAACAACCACATCAATTTGATCAGGTATGAACATTCTGTTTATCTTTCCTGTTCTCATAGGAGTTGATTTTAAATCGTCAGTTCATGGAGACCACGAGCAACCCAGTGCTCCCTCCTCGGTGACTTTTTGACACAAATCAGCTCTGCACCTGCAAGGTCCTTCCCGCATTCCTTTGAGCTAGCCTGGTTGCAGAAAGAAATGCTCTGCCCCTTCTCCAGGCTCTTTGCTGCAGAACTCAAATGAAGGGTAGAGTGCCAGATTTTTGCCTAGATGTCAGTCTTTAAAGGGCCCTAAAACATCATAGAAAGTAATTAGATGGAGAATATTACATTACCATAAGATCCCGATAATATCATATAGCTTAAAGAATTCTTGTGGTGAGGGGAAGACTCCCCCTTCCAACCCTGCAACACCCAAGGCAGTTGGATGAAAAACGCTGTCTGGGTGCTAAGCTGCCTTCCTGGGAGGATGAGCCAGGTTAGCTGGAGAGCTTTTGTTTTGTCCAGAGGCTCTGGCAAGTTAGGGGCGTGGGTGAAGTGCTCACCTCGTTACCGGACCCTTCATGTGCTTAGCCACCCTCTAGATATATGATGAGCAAATATTAAAGAGTATCAGCTTCAGTATCAGACCCACTGAATTTAATTTTAGGTAAATTTTACACCTATGGTAGTTGTGTCACATCTAAAATGCTTCTAATTCCAGAACCCTGAATCAAGAAAATAGTATAGTATACAACTTTGACATTTAAGTTTAATGGAAGTGTTCTTAAGACATTTATTTTTTTAATTCCTAGAAAATAAAGTTCCTTTCCCCTTGTGACTTGTATATTCCTGTTTCTTACAGAATAATTTGTGACATTCACAGGTAGACTCAACTAGCTTTAACTAAAGGCCACTCTCCATGTGCTGTGCAGCATGATGGTGATTTAGCCGTGAAGGACAGCCTCTCACTGCAGAAGGCTTGTAGCTTAGTGACGAAGATGGGCCTCACTAAGCTATGAGCCTACCATGTAGTGTGTTAAGAGTGGTGTTGGTCACGTGTACAGGATGCCGGGGGGTGGG